TCTGTCTCTACTAAAAATACAAAAAAAAAAAAAAAAATTAGCCGGGCGTGATGGCAGGTGCCTGTAGTCCTAGCTGCTGCGGAGGCTGAGGCAGGAGAATGGTGTGAACCCGGGAGGCGGATCTTGCAGTGAGCCCAGATCACGCCACTGCACTCCAGCCTGGGTGGCAGAGCGAGACTCCACCTCAAAAAAAAAAAAAAAAAGAAAAAGAGAAGAAGAAGAAATACTGAGTAAATTTTAAAATAATATAACTGTGAAGCTTTACTCACATCATAGTTCACCTCACTTGACATTAAGTATTCACTTTATTAACCTCCTTTCTCTCTCTCTCTACATATATATATATATGTATCTACCTTTTTATATATTATATATAAAATAATATTAACAAAAAACATATCTATTGGGATGCTCAGGTGGGTGGATCACTTGAGGTCAGGAGTTTGAGACCAGCCTGGCCAACATGGCAAAACCCCATCTCTACTTAAAATACAAAAAAAAAAAGCCAGGCATGGTGTCACATGTCTGTAATCCTAGCTACTCAGGAGGCTGAGGCAGGAGAATCACTTGAACCCAGGAGGTGGCGGTTGCAGTGAGCTGAGATCGCACCACTGCACTCCAGCCTGGGTCACAGAGTGAGACTCTGCCTCAAAAACAAAATAAAAACAAAATAATATATCTGTTTATTAAAAATAATATAAATAAAAATAATATAAATAAGATACATATTTACCTTTATGTAGATTACATATAAGTATATAGCCACCTTCTATATTATTTTATGCATATTATATTTATATATATATATACACAGAGAGAGAGAGGTAAGGGAGGAGAAGAGAAGAAGGCATGTCAGAAAGATAGATACAGATAGAGATAGAGATATATAAAGATTTCTTAATCAGGAATCTTTAGATGACCTTAGCATCTACATGGAGCATTCGTATTCCTTTATCACCAAATTTACTTTTCTTTTGCCTCTATTTCCCCTCTAGGTCCTCTGAATCAGGGGTTATGTGTAATTTAACATTATGCTCCAATATAATGCATTGCTAATAGGAGGCATTCAAAGGCCTGTTGAATAAATACATCAATAAGTCTGAGGTATCATTGTGGTTCATAGAGGCCAGAAAGAGGGCTTCGCATGGTGCCTCTCCCTAAATCACCTCTCCTGTGGTGTTAAATGCCTTCATAATCCCGCTCCAGCCTTCTGCTCTAGTCTCATCTCTACTCTCTGCCCTTTGGCACTTTCAGTTCTAGTCTACTACTTGTAGCTCCCTGAGTAACTAGGATTTTCTGTCTAATTCTGATTTCTCTTCCTGGCATGACTTCTCCTCTTCCCCTCTCTCACCTCTTTACCTGTTTATCTCATACCTTTGTTCATCTCATGTCCTTGGTTATCAGCTTGGATATCACTCCTTCTAGCAAGCCTTTACTTACACCAAGACTTTGTGGCCATCCTCTTTATTCTGCAGAACCCCGTGCTCATTCTTTCCTTTGTACTTACCACACTATATATCAGTAGCTCAAAGACCATACCCTACCTTATTCCTCCTGGATCTCAGGTATACTACCTGGCACATAAGTTACCAATGAATGACGATAGCCTGAGTTAATAACCACGTCCTCAGAAACCACTCTGGTATCTGGAGTTAGTAAACCCAATGACTGCCCCAGGCCTTCAGCTGGCGAATCATCTCCAATCACCGTACTTAGTACATAGAAGGAAGTCTGATAATGTTTGCTGAATGACAGAGAGGGGCCAGGAAGAAGCTCTTAGTGGAAAAAAGAATTCTAGGAATTCTTAGGATTACAAACCCTTGAATTTAATGCAACTTGGCCTCAACATCTCACAATTATAGATCCTACCCACTGCCACACAAATACACACTAAAATACATACGGTTTGGATTGCTGCTGTTTTGATTGCAGATTCGACACTGTGGATTCCTCACAGGCTGCCCAGGGACATGTTCCACCAATTTGCAGTACATTTCAGGTCCCTTTTCTCCACATGTTGCATTGGTTGTGATAAGAGCATTAGACGCAAGATTCAGGACAGCAGGGAATAAACCTGAAAAAGACGGACAAATGAAGGTGTGTAGACCAGAAACAAAGTTATGATTTTGATGCATTTTAAAAGCAATTGAGATAAAATATTTTTCAGAGCATTAAAGTAACTCAACATGAGATAATTAATGATAAATACCTGACAATTCGGTATACTACATAAATACTATGTGTTATCAAAAGAATATTATTTTTCTTTTGGGTCTTAAGTATGGATTTTAAGGCTCTTTTTAATTTTTCATCTCTATTATTTAGCTAGAAAGAAGGTCCTGTCTCTAGGACACATTTTAAAAAACAAATCTTCTGTTGAAGTTATTGGTAAAAGATCTCACTAAATCTTCCATCTTCCATTTCATATATTTTATATCTAGTATTAAGACATAATTGCATGCTAATGTTTCTTCACAACTATGCAAATTTTTTTCATGGTCATTTCATGCTCCAATTATCCTTTGGTGTAAATAATTATTAAAACTTCTTTATCCCCCAGACTAGAGAAGATAGAGAATGTTTTTTTTGGAAAACCATTTTTTACTGCTTTCCATGCTATCCAGCAATATTATAAAGCAGTATATTGCCAGAAACAAGCCATTATAGTAGTCCATGATCATACACCAGTAATTATGTCTTAGATATAATAGAAGTTTTTGACTTTCATAGATACAATCTCAGAGGTCCATCTAAGTGTAGGACTGGGGAGATTTTTTTATTCCCTCTGAGAACCAAATTCAGTCTCTTTTCTTCCTGTAACTTAATGTCAATTGTGCTTCATACATGTCTAGCATTTGCATATTATAGACCCTTTTTCAATAACAGTATAGCAAAGTCACTCATCAAAAGCCACTCTTTAACTGAAAAATCTGTTCTTGGAGAAGGTACATTTGAGATTACAGATAATTTGACTCTATTTATGGAGAAAACATGCTGACCATCTAGGTTGTTTCAGCTCTATGTATGTGCCAAGTAGGTCAATATCAATTCAACTTCTGATAGAAAGTCATTCCTTGCCGGGCGCGGTGACTCACGCCTGTAATCCCAGCACTTTGGGAGGCTGAGGTGGATGGATCTTGAGGTCAGGAGCTCAAGACCAGCCTGGCCAACATGGTGAAACCCTGTCTCTACTAAAAGTACAAAAATTAGCAGGGCATGGTGGTGGGCGCCTGTAATCCCAGCTACTCAGAAAGTTGAGGCAGGAGAATTGCTTGAGCCCCAGAGAAGGAGGTTGCAGTGAGCTGAGATCACATCACTGCACTCCAGACTGGGAGACAGAGGAAGACTCTGTCAAGAAAAACAGAAAGAGAGAGAGAGAGAAGGAAGGGAGGAAAGAAGGGAAAGAAGGGAAGGAAGGGAAGGAAGGGAAGGAAGGGAAGGAAGGGAAGGGAAGGAAAGGAAAGAA